CAACATAAAGACTTTTACACTTACATAAACTTGTACGTTACGCTATACAAATGAAATTAAGAAATGCTTGTCAAAAAGTTAAGCCAAAATAGTTTTGGACATTAACATAAGTTTGTGGCTAAGTAAACCTTTATGCATCAAGTTTCCTTTTGCATTTAACTAACATTTTTTTAGATAAAAGATTGTATTTATTACAATAATAATAAATAAATAGTTTTGGGGCTATCCAAAGAGGACGTCATCATTTTTAGCCAATTTTTGCCCTCTTCCCCCTTTGTCACCGGTTGTCCTTTTTCCCTATACCCTCTTGAAAAGGATGTCATAAAATCTTGCACCCCCCCCCCCAACTTAAACCCCCAAAAAAATTATTTTATCTCGCAATCATGTTTGAATCTGCTGCTACATCTTTGAAAAATAAAATTAAAAATATTCTCATACATTATCTTCTTAAAAACACATATTTACATAGTTTTTCAAGTTAGTTAAACTAAAACAAAAAATCTACAAAGTGATGTCCTTTTCTGATAATCTCCCTCCTTCACCTTGTTCTTTTTTGTCTTTTTTATCTCAAACTTCTCCCCCCTCCCTATATGGATGACTGCTCTCGACATATCTAAAGCTTTCGACAAAGTTTGGCATGCTAGTCTTCTCCATAAGCTTGCTTCATATGGTGTTTCTGGGAAAGTTTTTGAGATTATCAAATCATTTCTTTCTAACCGGTTTATTAAAGTCATCCTTGAAGGCCAACACTCTTCTTTATTTCCAGTAACTTCTGGGGTTCCCCAAGGTTCCATCATGGGCCCTGTTTTGTTTCTTATCTACATAAACGATCTTCCTGACAACCTTTCATCTAAAGTAGCTCTTTTTGCTGATGACTCAACTTTATACTCCTGTCTTGACAAAAAGTCTTCTCTTTTCGATCGCCTAGAACAAGCAGCTGATCTTGAATCCGATCTCACTTCAGTAATAGATTGGGGTTCACAGTAGCTTGTGAATTTCAACTCTAACAAAACCCAGTTGTTTACTGCAAACAACTACCGTAATATGGTCAACATTCCTATATTAATGAATGGCAATCCTCTTACTGAGTCCTCCTCTTTACGTCTTCTTGGATTATCGCTTACTACTGACCTTTTATAAAAACTATATATACAATCGATTGCTAAATTAGCTTCTGCTAAGTTTGTTTCTCTTTATCGTGCTCGCCATTTCCTTACTTCTGATTGGATTCTCTACCTCTACAAATCTCTTATTCGTCCCTGTATGGAATACTGTTGTCATATTTGGGCTGGTTCTTTTAACGATTCACTTTCTCTTGTTGACAAGGTCCAAAAACGCATTGTAAATGTTGTTGGACCTGGACTATCTGCTAAGCTTGAGCCTCTTTCCCATCGTCGTAAAGTTGCATCTCTTTCTCTTTTCTACAGATACTATCATGGTCACTGCTCAAAGGAGTTATCATCTCTAGTTCCATCAACTAGAATTCATTCTCGTTTTACTCGTCATTGAGCTAAGTCTCATTCGTTTACTGTATCTGTCCCTGCATGCTCTAAAAACTTTTATTCATCTAGTTTTTTTCCTCGCACTTCAATCCTTTGGAACTCTCTCCCATCTTCATGTTTTCCTGACTCATACAACCTTCAACTTTTCAAGTCTTCTGTCAACCGTTTCCTTGCTCTATAACTCTGTTCTTTTTTTTTTCCTGTAACTCCCAACTTAATAGTGGTTGCTTGCAGCCTTGTTGGGAGTGAATGCAAATTAAAAAAAAAAAAAAAATATGGATGACGTCTTTTATAGAAGGCTCCTTTTGTCTTTATTAGAATATATCCCATAAAAATATATTCCGTAAATCTTTAATAGCTAGAGTTTTTATAAAAAATTGAAATAAAATTTTATTTCTATGACTATCATTTTTAAAGGTCTAAGAAGCAGATGACATAACTTTAGAAATCAGAAATTATCGAGAGAGAAGCAAATCTAAGTTGAAGTTTCAAATTTTCCACTCGGAAGTGATAATATGTTTCGTGATTTTTAATCTTGTCAATTTTTTTAAATATAATAACATAACTACAAAAAATAAAAAAAAAAAACAGCTTGAGCAAAGAAGACTTGTAATTATTAGAAAAGTTTACTTATATTACATACAATCCTGAAAAAAAAGTTATATAAGTGGATTTTTTACATTTTATAAACAATATATAAACAAATAGCATGTATATTTATATATACATTGTTAATATAGAGATGGTTAAGCGCAACAAAGTTTAAAAATTGTTAGTTTATATTAAAATTAAAAAATGATTTATATAGCGTTTTTCTTGCAAAAACCATCGCACTATAATAAAATTTTTAAATGCTATAATAAATTTTTGAACTACAATTACTATATTCACTAAAATAAAATTTTTTACTATAATAACATTTTTAAGCCATTATTTTTAATTTTTTTGGTTTAGTGGCTTTTGTTAAGAGCTTTTACATATTTGTTTTAACATATTCGTTTTATCATCCATACTGCAGCCGTTTTTCAAAACGCCCTAAGGTTAAAAATATTATTTTTGACTTTTTTACAAAATAAGCTTTTTACAAAATAAGTCTACAAACGTTTTTGAATACATATTTTTAAAGACTGCAAAACGGCTGCAGTATGGATGATAAAACGAATCAGGGTGTAAACTAGCCCTGTGGCGCCCCGTAAAACGCGGTTTTCCCAAATGCTCATTAAATTAAAATTCCCAATTTAAAGATGAAAAAATCCCATTCTCCAAAAAGAGTTTCTAAATTAAAGTTTAATAATAATTCTAAAAATAATTTAAAATTAATTATTGTTCAAAACTAATGGAAAAATAACATAAAAAAATTTTAATTCATTAGTTGCGTAAAACATGAAATCAAATCGAGAATTGCAATTTTTGGAGCGATTTTTGGGATTTTTGTGGCTACTTGCAATAAAGTTTGAAAATAGTTTTTTGCAATGCATTCCAACAACAGCAAATATTATATAAAAAAGTTAGCAAGAAATAAAGTACTAATAAAAAAGGTCCAAAATAAGAACAAACTTGTTTGGTTTAACACCCGCAAATCCTATATCTTTAAAAGTTTCTCCTTTTTTGGCTAAAAAGTTAAATAACTTATTAAGTCTTAACATAAACTCAACTTTAAGTAGTTCATGTATTTCGTCAACAAAAACATCAAGAAGGTTATATCAGATACCTTTTGATCTATTACGGTTATTACAAAAAGTCTTTTAGTTTTTGTTTTTTTTTTTATTTGTTTGGTATTTTATATCAACTGAGTTTGCTAAAGTTTTTTAATTTTTTTACTGGTATTCTTCGATGCCACGTGTGCAATCGCTAGCTAATAATATTACTCTATAATTAAACAATATTTGTTGCTGTATTTGCTGAGACTTTGTGATTATAACTTTATTTCGCTTTGTGATCTTTGTATAAAATAAATTATTATTAATTATAAAATTGAACTTGCATAAATGTGAAGTATGAAATTTATGAGCTCGTGTTTACTATTTTTAAAACCTTATCTATTTTCAAAAAATTTCTTTTGATGACACAATTTATTATATGATGATGTAAGGATTTGTTCGTAAGGTACATCGAGCAGAATTTAAATAATAATTAGAAGTAGAAGATCATTGGCTCATTGGAGATCGCTATTTTACTATATTACATTGAAATTGAAATATATATTTAAAATAATACTCTTGAAATGAAAGCGGCGTCAATATAAAAAGATCAAAAATAAGTCAAATTAATTACTCTCAATAATAATTATAATACACTGATTTGTTTATAATAAAATAAGATATCATTCCTAATATATATTAGGAATGATATCTTTTTTTATTATAAACTATATATATATGTTCGGAAATCAGTTCTTAGTTTGCCGTGTCGTGAAACAACAGCTAATTTTGTGTTGATTTCATATTCATCTTTAATGATACAGATGGTATTTTATTTTATTTTTGGTGGTGATCAATAAATGTATGCAGCGCTGAAGTAGAGTAGAAAAAAAAAGAAGACCAAAAAAGGACCCGATGCTTTTCCAGAACATATTTTAGTCTCAGGGAAGGAGGGGGGTGATTAAAAAATTCTTCGACAAATTCCCAATTTCGTTAAAACGCTGTATCAAATTTATTCCTGATTAACACCCTGCGAATATGTTAAAACGAATATGTAAAAGCTCTTAACAAAAGCCACTAAACCAAAAAAATTAAAAATAATGGCTTAAAAATGTTATTATAGTAAAAAATTTTATTTTACTGAATATAGTAATTGTAGTTTAAAAATTATTAGGACTAATTAACGACTTCTGAAAAAAATCATTAAAATTTTTTATTTAAAAAAACGTTATTATAGTAAAAAATTTTATTTTAGTGAATATAGTAATTGTAGTTCAAAAATTATTAGGACTAATTACAGACTTCTGAAAAAAATCATTAAAATTATTCATTTCAAAAAACATTTAACAAATAGTTAATCAAATTTTCTTCCGGTGATGTTTTGTTTTTGTTGTTGATGTATTATGAAATTTGCGCTTTCTTAAAATCTTTTCTTATGTGAAAGTGTATGATATCGTTCTGTTACATATGTTTGTATATAATCTTAATAAAACTTCAAAATTATTTTGTATTTTAAAATAATAAAAAAAAAAATTAATTAAAAAGAGTTGCCATTGGTAAGAATCGAACCTTGGGTTACTTGTTCAGAAGCTCGGCGCCTTATCCACTCGGCAACACGGGCACATACTCAAGCCAATATTTTTAGAACAATCTAATGATTTTTTAAAGGAAAAAATGTAACTGATCAAAATTAAGGAGGGCTTGACGCAATGCAATTTTCAAGTAAAAATCAAACTGTAAAACTTGATAAATGTTTCAGTATGTTTTAACAAATGTTTTAACATCACTTAATTTAAAGTTTACTTACGATTGATATTTGGATACGCGTTCATTCACGTTTTCTTGTAAAACAAAGCTGCTGCAACTCTCACTCGCCATTACCTCGGTTGCAATGGCTGCGAAGGGTTTCATGTCAAATACGCTCCAAGGGACACTAAAACTATTAAGTTTGGCATTATTATATAGAAGATTACATGATTACATATTATTACTTAATTACATCATTATGTCATATTTTTGTATAAAAAATTAATTTTATGTGTACTCAAATACTTTTAACTTCAATTTTTTTTTTGAAATGTAGAAATGTTGTCCAACAACTAATTGATGAATATCATGCAGCAACAAAAGCAGACTACATTACATGGGGTACTCAGACTCAGGTATCAGTAGGAAACATGTAAACTTTAAAAAAAAATTGGATTTTAATAATCTTTTCTTAAGTTATTCAAATTTTTTTTCTTAATTTTTTTTCAAAATTGTTTCCTACTAGGTTGAAGAAACACAAAAAGATAGGAAATAAAAAAATACGGTTTTTTCAATGGGTCGTGATCCGTCAGAGTTTATTACAATGGGCTGTGATTCATCAGAGTTTATTACAATGGGCTGTATTCATCAGAGTTTATTACAATGAGCTGTGATTTGTTAAGCAATAAGGGAAATTCACCTTTTCTAATGCAAGGCATTACTATTCGAAGCTGTTCAAAACATTTAAGTTTATTTATATATTATTTTTGTTGCATATGTATATAAATTTTATGGCTAGCATCATTCAGTTTTTAATAAAGTTTTCTTTACGTATTCATTTACGTATCCATATGTTTACGTATTCTTTTTTTAAATTTATTTGTTTTCCAATTTAAACGTTTTTTCATGCATATTTTTAGTTTATACATCTATATTATACTGGATGTATCATGGAATATTATACCAAATATTTCATATTACAAATATACATAAATTGAAGACTGATGATATTAAGATGCAAGGGGCACTTTAAATTGTTGCTACGAAGGTGTTGAAATAATTATTTATAATCAGTAGTATAAAACTTTTTTAGTTGCAATTCAGGATATCTAATCATTATGATTGAGGATTCAATTTTCTTTATGAATTGCAAACCGTGATTTCAATCATTAATGATTGAACATTCAATAATCTTTATGAAGTGCAAACCGTGATTTCAATTAATGGCGGTTTTAGAACAAGTTAGTGCATAATGTGGTAGTTTTGTCATAAATCACTTTGTAATAAATGTGTAATTTGGTTCTTTTGTGATGAACCAGTTGATTTGATATGGTTTTTGTGGTAAACCCCTTATGTTTGGTGTGATGGTTGTTTAAATGAATCGATGAAAAAGTATCCATTTCTAAAATCTTACAAGTTTCGAGAAAATAGTGCTTTTGAAAAAATATTAATTTGTAAAAAAGTTATGTTCTAGATAGACATTTAAAAGTTTTAAATTTTGAATAAAATATACAATATTTTTTAAATTATTACCAAATAATGTTTTTTTACTTTTATTTATGTTATTATGATATTTTTTTACTTTTATTTATGTTTTTATAATAAGTTTAGTTTTCAAAATTTTTTATGTGTTTAAGAAAGAAAAAAAAAATCAGTTTTATGTTTTTAATCTTCCTTAAAAAATTTATTTTGTAAATTAATTTTTCAATGTTTGAATTTGGGTGTAGACTTTCTTTATAGTAGATATAAATTACTTCAAGTCTTTTTATTTACAAAGGTTTTGAAAACTTATTTTATCTAATTGTTGTGAGTAAAAATAAATTGAGCGTTTATCGAGGTGATTTTGGTATAGTGTTTTGATATGGAGAATTGTAACATGTTGCATTATCAGAAACAGTTATAAACATAGAAATAAAGTTTTGAACAAACTTATATTTAAATTTTTATTTTTGTTTTAGCCAACAAAAGTCTTTTTTTGATATATCCTTTTTGAATATGAATTAAATAAGTTTTAATTTAGGAAAAGAATTGTTTTTATATCAAAATATTTATTATACACACATACACACAAACTTATATTAAGAACATATAATCAAAAGAAAGTCTTATTGAGTATGTAAAGGATGTCAAAGTATATTGTTATTTGTTACTAGAAGATATAATCATAATTTAATATGGTAATGCTAAAAGGAATTCCGAGTATTTTATCTCCTGAACTTCTATTGGTTTTGGCCAAAATGGGACATGGTGATGAAATAGTACTTGCCGATGCGAACTTTCCTAGTGCCTCAGTCTGCAAGACCAATGGTGCTGAACTTGTAAGTTTTGAATTTTAGATATAATTGATTTGTTGAGGTTTTGGTTTATTTTACTAGTTTGTTGTATTTTTTATTTATGATTGGTAGATCGTTATAATAGGCTTAACCGGCTCTACAGAGAATGTCATTGTTTTAAAATAGAGACCTAATAACTCACATAAGAAAATTACAATAACTGACCGAGTAATCTGCATTATATATAAACGATTGTGTTACTTTTTGTATTGTTTTTATCATGTTCATGTTTTTAGTATATTTAAACATTAATGTTTTACAAAAGTTACATATATATTTACATGTTTACCAATTGATTCTTTGATTTATCATAAACCATGGCCTTACTAAAACCACTTTTTTAAATTTTAGATTCGAGCTGATGGCCTTGGTTGCACAGATCTATTAAAAGCAGTATTAGAGCTTCTACCATTAGACACGTATGTTGATGCCCCTGTGTTTCTAATGGAAAGAACTCCTTCTGATAAAAACATTGATTTGAAAACACCTATTTGGGATGAATTCAAAAATGTAGTAAATAATGCAGAACAGCGTCATGTTTGTATTAAGTTTGTAGAAAGGTTTGATTTCTACGAACAAGCAAAGAGAGCTTGTGCTGTTGTCGCAACAGGCGAAAAAGCTCTTTATGGCAACATTATCTTAAAGAAAGGAGTAATAAAAACATCCAATTAAGTTATTCTTGTTCAAACGTAGGTTATAAGTACCGGAACCAGAACCAGTAGTTATAAGTACCGGAACCAGAAAAAAAAAATAGTTTTGTGATTTTTTTTTAATTACTAACGGTGTTTTTGTCTTTTAAAATATTATCTGTTGAATCAAATTTTTTAATGAATTTTAAAATTTAAGTTTTCTAAAAATTTTTAAATTATTCTATAGAATGTTTAATGTTATATAAAATTTTGTTACAAACTCCTTAACAATAAATTTTTATTTTGTTTTATAGAATCTAACTTAATTACGTTTTCCATTTTTTATTTCATATTTCATTTCATAATAACTTAATTTAATATACAAATAAAAACACCAATAAATAAAATAATATTGAATTATGTAAAATATCTATGATTTTATTAAATGATATAGTGCGAAAAATATTTTGTTTTATTATAATATTCAAAGAAAAAGAGTAAAATATTGATGCCTCTATTAATTAAAAAAATCATTGAATTAAAATTTTTTAATGTTATTTGCGCTTTATGTTTAAATGTAAAAACAATCTATTTATCTACACTGTATGTTTTCATAAATTATATACCGAAAAAGAAAAAACTTAATGCAATTTACGGAATGATAACGACATTCGTCAATCAGTTTACAAAACTAATTTTTTGAAAATATTGTATTTCATTTCGAGAAACTTTATTTTGAGTAAAATAGTTTTGAAAAATTTTGTCTTTTCTGAAAAATTTATCAATCACCTTTTTACTATCTATCACTTTTTTAAAGAAAATCTTAGGAAAGTCATTTTTTTACTAGATGTGTTTTTGTTTTTACTAGATGTGTATTCTTTTGACTTCTTTTTTTTAACTTTAGAATAAACTGTAATACACTTTAAACAATACACTGTATTGATAAAACTTGTAAATTTAACTATTTGTTGTTTTGATCGTTATTTTACACTTTTTCTTGAATATATCTTAACACTGCATAACATAATATACTCTAATTTATAATGTATAAATTTGAGTATAATAAGTTTTTGTAATTTTTAGTATAATTAAGTTCTCATTTTTTTGTATCACAAATAAATATGTAAAACTTACGACTCAAGCATCATAAATCTGGTGCAAAGTACTGCCAGTTGATGTACAGCCAGTTACTTGGACTAAATGTTCCTACTTGATACTAAGAATTACACAATGATTAGTTTTGAATAGTTTCTTCAACATAAATTACGTCGTCAGAAAACTAAACAATCATCAATTGTTTTATCAATATATTAAAACCTAATTTTAATTTCTAATGATTATTGGTAGCTTCATTACAACAATAGATTTTGAAGTTTTTTATTATAGTCTTTAAAGAAATAAGGAAAAGCGATTTTGCGCTGAACACTTTGCAATTCTGAAAAAAGCATACATCGATCATAAACGACATAATAGACTTTATCTCATTCTCTTTCTTGTATGTTTCTTCTTGGCAGCATCAGAATATAAATTAATTGATAAAACTGGGAATACAACAAGATTTTTTATAATTGCTTAATTCCTTTGACTTTGTAAGTCAACAAAATGCCAGATGTCCTGATGCCTTGTAGGGCTTGTTTTCAATAACAAATGCTAGGAAAACATTTTTTTTTTTTGGCTTTAAACACCCTCTACTTTGGAACAATTTACAGGGTCGAACCTAGAGATCTTTGTCTCAAAAAAAGTATTTATCTTAAGTAGATTCTAACTGGATCCGGCTGCTATCTCGTAGAAGATCCATAAACTTTAGAACTTTAGTAGTAAGCAGAAATTTAAAAGTTTATGAGCAGAATAATTTTCTAGAGTTAAATTACTGAAGAGAGAACTTTCCAGAGACATATCCTACTTAAGAGAGATATCCTACCTTACAACAGCAGTCATAGCATTACCAAGTGAGTCAATAATAACCCAAGGTCTATGATTAGAAACTGTTGGTACATACGAAGTTGAAACATTAGATTTTAGTTTCATAATATCTTGACTTATTTTTATTTAAACAACAGTTAGTACGCAATCTTTTCAATAAAACTTTCGAGTTTCTAATGATTTATGACTTTTTATAGCTTTGGGAGAATATATGCCTAAACAAATTGGAAAATTTAAAAAAAGTGCAATCTACAAAGCCAACATAAATGTTCACAATATCAGCAAATGGACATTAGAACATTTAAAAATTCAATCAACTTTAAAATAATAATTCGGATACATTTCTTATAAAGAATCTTAATCAGTTAAGAAAAAATGGTAACTTTAAGAAGGTTACTGGGTTTGATCTTCTGTCAAAGAACCTGCGGGCTACTTATATGGATATTTATTTATCCTAGGATATTAAATACCTTATGTTCAATTTTTTTTTTTAAAAGTAGAATACTCTCATTTCGTTATTTGGTTGCGTAATGAAGTCATGCAAATTTGACTAGATAGTAAATACGATATGGTTACAGTAATTAAATGATTACTATGTTAATGCTGAAAACAATGGTGTTACTTAATGGTGTATATGCTGGGAGTAATGGTGTTACTTAAACAAAAGTGGATTAAAAGTGCAATGCCAAAAATCTCACAAGAAAACTTAATACGCGTAAATGATAAGCACATATGAGCGCACATATGGTAGCCACACACAGTTTATACCATGGTGTAAATGTTGTGATGTATATTTACGCTATCCCATTAATTGAGTGTGGCTATCATTTAATGACAAATTTGAACTATTACCTATTACTATTAAAATTATATATATATATATATATATATATATATATATATATATATATATATATATATATATATATATATATATATATATATATATATAAATAAACTAAAGAAGCAAAGTGTATTCTTAAACTAAAGAAGCAATGTGGCTTTAAATATATATAAAATAACATTAAAACAACTATAAAAACATTATTTGAGTAAAATCATGGCATATGCAAAATATTTATCAAAGTATGCCAAAGCGATTGGCTAGGAGTGCAAGATATTTTTTCCCACCACCAGAAGAAAAATATACCGTCATAATTGATTTTATTAATTATTATGATTAATTTCATGATTCTTTATTAAAAGCAGGTGTAATCAAAACGGATATATCCGATCACTTTCCGATATACTTTTCCTTTTTTCAAGATGCAAAAAATAATAACTCTAAAATCAAAGTCTATAAATGAAAAATAATAATTTTACTATTCAACAGTTTAAAGACTCACTATCGGCAGTGAGGTGGGACAGGATTTACCAAGAATGCAACGTTGGGCATACCAACTCTGCTTATAATGAATTTATAGAAATATTCTAAAAGCACTATGATAATCACTTCCCTATAATAGAACAAGAATTAAAAATAAAATATTTTATAAATGTCCATGGATTACTAGAGGTATAAAAAAATCTTCAAAAAAAAACAAAAAAACTTTACACCAAGTATTTAAAAAATAGAAATGAAAAAAATCTAAATACTTACAAACAATACAAAAATTTATTTGAAAAAATAAAAAAAAGTTCGAAGAAAAATTACTTCTCTAACCAAATAAAAAATGCAACTGGTGACATTAAAAAAAACATGGAATACGATAAAAGAATTAATTGGGAACAAAAAAGTTATATCAAATAGTTTACCTGCTCAAATCATCATAGACAATATAGAGTACAGTGACAAAAATACGATTGCTGAAAAATTCAACGAATTTTTTGTTAATTATGGCCCTAATCTTGCCTCAAAAGTTAAGTCTCCTAATAATTTATTTAAATCATACCTAAGTGATATCCAGAGCGAACTAAAATACAAAGAACTAAACTACCAAGAACTTAATGTTGCTCTAAATTCCTTAAAATTAAATAAAAAAAATTAAATAAAACTCCAGAGATGATATCTGTAGTAGGGTAGTGGCAAATGTTTTTACAACAATAAATAAACCTATATTTGAAATTTTTAAGTCTTCGATTAAGACAGGAGTTGTACCGGACAAGTTAAAAGTAGCTAAAGTAGTACCAATATTTAAAATAGATGAATCATACTTAATTAATAACTATAGACTTATCTCGGTACTCCCTACCTTTTCTAAGCTTCTCGAAAGAATAATCTATAACAGATTGTATGAGTATTTAATCAAAAATAGAATCCTAAATAAAAAGCAATTTGGTTTCCAAAAACAATATTCAACTGAACACGCAATCCTAGATCTAGTTAAAAACATAAGTGATTCTTTTGATAAAAAACAGTATGCTCTAGGCATCTTTATAGACCTGTCGAAGGCGTTTGATACTGTAAATCAAAATATCTTACTTAAAAAAAAAGGAAAGCTATGGGATAAAAAGCATAACCCTTGAACTGGTTCAAAAACCATCTAAGTAACAGACAACATTGTGTCTTTTCAGATAATTATAAACATTCAAAACTACTAAGAGTTGAGTGCGGTGTCCCCCAAGGTTCCATTCTTGGACCTCTTCTGTTTCTTCTATATATTAATGACCTTACAAAAGCCTCGGAAAAACTTGATGTAATTATGTTTGCCGATGATACAAACTTATTTTATTCATCGAACTCAATCAAAGACCTTTATGAATGTATGAACAAAGAACTTAAGAGATTACATTTATGGTTAAAATTAAATAAGTTATCACTAAATACACAAAAAACAAAGTACATATTGTTTCATTCCAAAAAACAAAAAAATAATATACCAACTACCCTTCCCTCACTAAAAATAGATAAGGTAAATATTGAAAGAACAGAAACGACTAAATTTCTTGGGATACTAATTGACGAAAATAGATCTTGGAGAGCCCATATAAGTTCAATTAACACCAAAATTTCAAAAAATATTGGCATACTCTACAAAGTTAAACCTATGTTATCCCAACATAATCTTAAATCACTTTATTTTTCTTACATCCAAAGTTATCTTACATACGCTAATATTACCTGGGCAAGTACACACAAATCCAAATTGAGTACTATTTACATAAGTCAAAAACATGCATCAAAAACATGGACTAGTCCCATCGCATTTCTTAGATAACCTCT